GTAATTCCCATAATAAAACTTTGACTTGGGGTGATCAGGGTCGGAATGGAACAAACCTTGCACAAAGTTGAAAAACATTAACAGGAGAAAAAAGAAAGAATGTCTTTTTACTTCCTTTTATTTATTTATTGAATATCCGTCCGGGAAAAACCGCAAGGCATCTGAAGGAAAAATAGTAACTCAAAGGAGTTGACGACAACAAAGCACACTATGTGCCATGCGATCACATCTAACCTGTCCAATTCCACGCCTCGTACATTCCCTGTTAATGCGTATATCTTCAAAGATTCTGTAGTTGTTCCTCACATAGTTTTCATGNTTCATGAACAATCTGCAAGTTAGGCACAGAATTTTGCTGATTGGAGACCCCAGAATAAATGAGCCGAAATTGAAGTTGAGGGTGAACCCGTGCACCAAGTGAACCGCACCCCATGCCAGATAAAATAAAAATAAGTTCAAAATACTGAAAATGAGAAACAAACGATAAGAGCCTATGCTATTCATACGCAGTGAGACTGGAGTCCTTGGAGTTATATTCCAATCACTACAGGCGCATCAGAGGAGACATGATTATGGTAAGTCAAATAATGCAAAACCCAAGCCATCCGTGACGCCCGCTGCTAAAACTATCACCCAACGTTCATCTTAGAGGACATACGTTCAAACTGATTGCAATGACACGGTCAGTCATTCACAGCCAAAGTGTGTTCGATCTGAAATTCTCTCCCATCCCACGTCGTCTATGGGCGCCTAGCATTGAATCTTTCAAAGTGAGTCTTGATGAAGCATTAGCACACCTTACATTCCAACATGAGTGAAGTTGAGTGCAGCAGTGGAGGAAGCACGTATCATGTGACCTTTTACACAAGTAATTGTATGTATCAGTGTCTTTTAACCATAACATGAACCTATGGGACGAGAAAAGCATGAGCTGGTAAGTGATTCCCATAATGAAACTTAGAACTTTGCATTTTCTTCATTCTTGAGTTACATCACCTTATCATACGTCGCCCAGATTTGCTCAACTTCTCCGACGTTGATATTGGCGCGGGTCGCTCCCATTCAGTATTTAATCCAATTCTAATCTCGTTCTTGTTCCAGCTTAGAACAGTGACAATAGTGCTCTATTCGGTGTTCGCAGAAAACCTCCGTTAAACCCATTGCTCATGATTATGAATTTCCGAGACCCTCAGAAACAAAATCAGCCAGTTGGGTATAGTTTGAATGTTTCACTAGTAAGCCCCGATATAAAGCAGTAAATCCTCGGATTCTGATATGGTAGTCCTTGCTGTGAGGTGTAAACGTTTATGGGAATTCACTGAGACACAGTTTAGAGTGAACAAAAAACTGTAGAACTGCAGCAAAATACTTGTTGTCCCCCCCCCGTCCCCCAATGTGAGGTGAATCGATAGTTTTGAACCGGAACCTCACCAAAAACGAAAATATTGCATGATAAAGGACATGTGAAAACTTCACCGAAAATGACCTACCGCGAATCACTTGCGATCGATCGACCTCATCGTTCGTCTTTTCCGTATAGTATTTTGTTACTGGACGAATCGCCGTAGCAGGGTCGGCAGCATAAATGTGCTTCAATGGGGGTGGGCGAGCCTCGCTCACTTGGGTGAAACCCTCTACAGGAAGTGACAGGTTGTCCCCAATTTGTAAATCCACCTTCCATCCACGCTGAGCAACTGCGCGACCTTCAAACAAGCTCAACGATGGCAGTGCTTCACTTGGAACAGAAACGTGCAACGTACGTGGAACATTATGTCGTGGGTAAACTAGATTTCACACTCTAGACGGTGAGGATAACATACTTGAAAATAAATTTGTATTCAAGTGCAGATAAGACGAAAACCACAGGTATAATAATAATAATAATGAGAAGACGAAGAAGAATTAGTGGTCGAAATGAAGAAACCATGTTTAGCGCAGAGTCGCTTTTGTCTGTGCTCTTAATATCGAGGCTATGCTGGCCTCCAAAAGCCATGTTATTGGTGTCTAGTCTACCTACTTGCACGTTCAAGCCGCCCGCCAGTACCACAATGTCAATGTGTGGTCTACTGTGGAGTGGGTTGGTAAGCTGGTGATAAAACTCGTTTGTTATTGCATCTGAACTGCAGTCTGCGAGCGCAGTGATATGGCTGGATGTCGCAAACAGTGGCGTTCGTGCATTTTCTCAATTTCTTTGCAACCTTAGACCACTGAACTTCTCCGTTTTCTGTTCAAATTCACTTTCAACTTTCTTTTCTTTTCCTATTCTTCATTCAAATGGGAAGCCAAAAGACAGCAACCAAAACCGACGCACGAATATGCGTGGTTGTACAAACTGAACTAAACTGAACTGAACTGCGAGCGCATAAGCCGTGATGATGAATAGATAATGCTTGTTAGTCCCGTAACGAGATGCTCTTATCAAACCTTTTAGTCGGATGGCACAGAGTCGACTATAGATTGCAATCCAGTCGAGTAACGCAACTTCTGCTTGTGCACTTAGTGCTATCTCCACGCTAAACTGGCCAGCGGCCTCCGCGATCAAATCCAAGGAGGGATGAAAAATGAACGAGCTTGTGGAATCTGGATACGGTGAAACGACGTGCAGTAAGCTGCTCGAATCCCATACGTGCATCTTAGTTAGGCAGCAAATATTCATATTAAGCGTTTTCAATGTGCTAGTGAGTGCTCCCTGGGACCCAATTCGCATAAGTGTTAGAAATCTGAAGGTGGCTAACATCAGCTACAACCAAGACGCGAGTATTGTTTACCGAACAACCTAGACGGTTGCATGGTTCTTTTGCGTATGCTCGTGGCTTATTTCGTTGTCTTGAGCAACACAATGTTGGAGACTCGAAATAATGGGTCGTGAACTGTAGATAACAAAACTGGAGAATTGTGGAAGGGAAAGAATATGACTTGTTGGTGCGGTAACATGGAAATCCGTGGAGCCAACCGGCAACACCCAGGTCAAAGAGCGCATAATTTGTGAGGTTAAAATTCAGATATATGTGGGTTGTGTGAGCATGTTACTTGCCGGTTCCCCTAACCGAAGAACGGGGTCGACAACCAAAGCTCTTAGTTAGAAAGCCATATCTGTAAGACAACAGGACCAAGTTTACAGTCCAGTCCAGTCCAGTGATGAGCAGTGGCCAGTACATCGGACTATATGCCTTTTGCAAGGTATCAAACGTCTAAGGTGACCAATACACGACCCATCGGGCCAGCGACCGTTGCCACAACTTGGAAGGTGTGCTTGTGGTTGGTTTCGAATCAGGGTTCATAACTCACAGTCCTAAGTGAACTGGCAGGGATCAACCGACCCGGTTATAGCCCCGGATGTTGGCTTTTCATCATCACTTTGATGGGAAAATCTCCTCGTCACAGGAAGGAAATGAGTAGGACTTCCTCAGCAGAGGCTATTTGAGGCACGAAGTGCAAGGGAAGAGTGATCAGCCACAACCCAAGATCTCCACCCCGGGACTATACTGGAGCTTTCAGTGGCTTTAATAAGGCAATGAACTATTGTCACAGCTGGATTTCAAAGCACAGATTTGTTACAATTTCCTTTTGAAAGTTTCTGAATCGGTGGGGGTGGGTATGTTGAGTGACAGCTGATTACTGTTCCATTGCAATTCATGAGACGGCCATACAGCCCCTGCTCTCATTCGGAGGGGTGTTCTCCCACCAAAGTTAGAGGACGAAAAGCCAACATTCGGGGCTATAACCGGGTCGGTGGATCACTGGTGTTGCATTTTTGGGAGAGTTACAAACCCTGACTCTAAAACAAACAAGGAGCACACGAACTAAACCCACAATTTCTTGGTTCTGGCAGTAGTCACCGGCTTGATTAGACATCCAGGTGTATTGGGCCATCGACGTTTCACCTCGATCAAAGGGTGTATGTTCGGCTGAACCACAGTGGACAGCGGTTGTCACACACACACACCACTCAGTTGTCCTGCTGGTCAGGCTTTGGTTAGCCGAAAGTCCCCCGGTTGTGAATGCCCCCTGGAAAAACATCTCCTTCGACGTGGGCAACCTAGTATCATCATCGCACCTATGAGAAAATCATGGACTTATATCTTTGTCATGCAGATTGTTGTAAATGTCGGCACACGTTTTGAACTGAGACACGTGTGAAGTATGGTATAATGGTAAGATGATACTATATTCCCCAAACATATGCCGGCAAAGTCATGAACTTGATTAACATCCAACGCACCTGAATGCGTAAGATTCACCCTCCCTCTTTTGCCAAAGTTCTGTTATCGGAGTGAGTGCAGGCTGCAATTTGTTTCTCGCATCAGGTCGATAATTGGGCGAACGCGAAGAAGGACCTGCGTCGTTTCTTGCTTCCGCCTCTTCGTCATTGGTATCGTCCGAGTAATCCAAACTGCACCCGATTAAACTTAACTGAATCTCTGCAGCGCAGCAAGCATCAAGCAGATCAGCAACTGAAGCTTCTGCGGGTCCCAGCAGATTACTAACCAGAATGATGCGCTTTTCCCCCACTTTCTTGCGTAACCTGAAACAAAAAAGATATTACACGTGCACAAGACAAACTATACTACTTACTTGGACTGTTCAACAATATGATGAATTGCGACAGAAATAGCGTTCACTACTATAAGAGTAAAATTATGTTTTGTCAAGCTAAAAGGAATTTTACCGCTCGCCTCTTGTGATGACAATAAAGATTCTTTGTTCAGAAATTCCAAAATATCCCAATCCAATGGGGCAAGCTCTCGAACTAGGGCTATATTAGGATAGCTCTCATTGCCCAAACCAATAACATTGCCTGGGCATTCAGCACCACATAGAATCAGAGCAACTTCGTGTTTCTTTTGGGCAAAAAACTGTGAAAAAGTCAATAAAGTGTCTGAGCGGAACATACATCGCGCTGTACGAGCAATTTGAGGCAGTCTACCGCCTGTTGAATATCCTCATACATATGAGCACCCACATCCAAAATGAGACACAGTAGATTCTGATAACAGAATAGAATAGGATGGGATTGTTCACTGACTTACTGCCATTCTGCAAGTAAAACCCCGATGGATTTAAGTACAAAATATTGTTTTTTGTTAAATGGAGATCTGAAAATCAGGGAGATCGAAGAATGAATTGGTTGTGAGTTTCTTTACGACACACCGGTTTGATGAGCGGCTACCTGAACCAAGTTCTGACGAAGCAAGCGGATAGGTATATTGGTGGGATGGGTAACATCAGAGTTCCACGGAGTGACGGAAGAGTATAGTTTAAAATTACATAAAAACAAAAGCATGATCACACTAAAAAAAGTTACAGTTGCTTTGCTTTGAAGCTTGTTAGGATGGCGCCT